TAATGCTTGTTGTATATAAACATCCTATCCAAGATCTTATTTTGTTAATTTTAAATAAACCTGAACTTCCTAAATGTCAATTTTCCGGAACTAGTCTACAAGTTTTAATATACATTAGGTTTTATAATAGCCATCAACAAAGAAATACAGTGGATTTGAAGGAAAAAACATGTAAAAAAACCCTTTCTGTTGTTTGGCAAATTATAAATCAAAGAAAACTAAATGATACAAATAATGCATTATTTCGATGATAATCATATGAAAAATGAATAAACAATTAAAGACATCTGCAACTAAAACACATAAACATGATTATAACGCATTAAATTAACCAGCTGAACAATAAATACCATAGATTCAAGCTGTATACGCGCAGGCCTGTATTCTTGCGTAGACTGTTGCCCACTAACAACTGCGTAATTAACCCTGATGGACTTGTATTGACGAAAGTGACTGATGTCCCTTTGCAGAATGTGTAGGCTAAATGCCTCAATTGTGTAAACTGTTTTCCACTAACAATTGCATAATTGACCCTGATAGACTTGATATGAAAAGAAGATCTGTTGTCCTCTCACCAGTTATTTCTAATTACAAAGAAAACATATTATCTTTGTATAATTATTGATGCATAATCGAATATTGAACACGTATATTAGTTCATACCCGGATAAATTATCTGTAGCTCTCCTTTCTCAGTTTTCCTCTCCCCCCCCCTCCCTCTGGTGTACAGCGCAAAAAGAGCTACCGTGAAACTTGTCGCGCACCAACTGTGATGATCGGAGTTNATCAATATGAATGCACGTTATCTTAAGCAAGCACAATAAAAAACAACTAAAATATTTGCAGTTTTTGTACTGTATAATAGTTTTTTCATTTCAAGGGTTTAAAAAGTTTCGTTAAGGTATAAGTGAAAAACTGGATAAATAGTTGTTATTTTTAATCCATTGTTATTTAACATTACAGCTGTCACTTTTAGTGCCTTGAGACTAGTGGTCCTACAAAAAGTGATTGGAGTAAGTGCTCATGTTTTCCATTGGCTGCCACAATATCAGTTTAAAAAGAGCAGAACTAATCGTTGAAAGGGACCTAGACAAAACAGTGTGTATATATTTGATATTAAGTAAAACTTTATGTAAACGAAGGAGACAACGAATGAGCTAAGCCACTCCTGTTATACCACAGATCAGAATTTGGATAAAGTTATAGGAAACACTTACTTTCTTAACAAGTAATAATCAAAGCTTAAATTCATGTAGGCAATATAATGAGTTTAGCAATATGTCTGAACATCAGCAAAGCAATGAGGTACACAACTTGAAGAGTAAAAAGCGTTCGCAACGCTAGTTATGCGTAAACTTAAGTGTGTGGCAAGAATTTCTCAGCCGCCAAACAGCCGTCCCAGTACCCTGTCACAAAAATATTTTCTACGTCACTTACCTTGACTCTACACATTTGATACCTCTCATCCAGGAGGTCTGCCATAGGAGTCCGGATCAGGAACGCTAAACACTCCTAAAAAAAAGTTGAAGAGGGAGCAAATGGGGTTATAAATATAATAAATAAGTACAATCACTTCTATAAATTTCACAGCACGCCCGTACAATTTATTCTCTCACTTACACACTCTTGATATTGCACTTGTCTCTTAATCTTATCTCTATAAACATAAGCATTACAGTACATACCTACTCTTAATACAGATACATAGGCATACATACAATCTTCGTCGATAAAGCAGTACTGGATTAGGACATTGGCGCGGTAATTACAAATATTCTTTAATACGCAGAACTATACATTCTTGGGCTTTTCTTCGGTGTTATGTCTCCTCTTCTCTCCTTGGCGCTACTCCTTGCATCCGATTAATCTCATGTAGAACATGAAACACACAGACCCGGACCTTTATTAGCTTCTTATAATGAAAATAGATTCCACCTTGATGACGCGTTTCGCCGCTTAATGCTATAGGTCAGAGAAAAATGACTACGTCATAACACACACACACACACACCCAGACGTCTACCTAGCTACTCTATCCTATTATATTTATATCTCTTCCATTAAACTATTCCCTATTCAATCACTAATAATCTGCTGTTCTCTCCTGCATCCCCTGCCATTTTTCCTCTAATTCTTAAACTCTAATATCTACGCTCTGCTTTCTCTGATGTCTCACAATATACTATCTGCGCTATCATAGGAATCGGTAGCCATCGATGATTTGCTCAAAAATATAGGAAGATAGTGACGTGATAGCTTGAGCTACCACGTCACAAATTAAAACATAGGTATGCTTTCTCACAGGGCAGATAAGCTTAGATATAATGTTCATTGAAGTAGTATAAGTAATATGAGTAATATAAGTTGAATAAAGTAAATGGTATAATATATTGTAGAAGCAAAATCTGAAGGTAAAATTACAGGTAATAGTTCACACTCGCAAAAGAACGTTATCATCAAGCAAATCAAAGCTACTGATTCTTCGATCTAAGTAAGAACGCTTCTTTCCGTATTATAAGGGTATGCACTAGAATTTAGCTTTGAATTTGAAATAAAATTCTTAGTGCAATGAACACTGATTGACTTGCAAAGGCTTTAAATATTACAATTGAATGAAAACTGGATAGAAGAAAACACTATGCACAAGTAAAATTAACTTAATCCTGAACAGTACAACTTCTCACACACATCGGTAGTGCTGCATATACGGAGGAAGTTCGAAATATATATAGCTAAAGCGTTTTTAATTTTTTAGATCAACGTGGTGGAACACTTTTCTTTGAGCAGCAGACTATCCAATCAGGGCTACTCTACGGACCCTTGGTCTACAAAATAGCCCCAATGAAGATGGTTTTTGCAGGTAGGGTGTACCCCCTGTAGGAAAAATAGTTGTTTATTAACGATGAGTGATTAAAAGGCTTTTTAGCTTTCCAATTTTCATTTTATACATTGCTCTGTCTATTTTTTCACTAGACGGCTACTTCACAGCTTTGATATTTTTATTATACCATTCAAATTTTTTAATACAATGTCTCAAAAAGTTATGCTAATATTTATTGTACTTATTCAAAGGCAAATATTTTATTTGTAAGTTCATTAAAAAACGTATGATCTATCAGTTAGTTGCCAAACTATTAAAATTTTGAACTTATTGGTTTCCACCATGTTATTTTTTTACTGCTGCATGATCGGAATTGGTAATATAGGTAAGGAGTTTTTAACTAGGCTCTTGTTACAGTAACGGTAGATTTCAGATCAGATCTTGACCATCTCACTTTATTCTGTTTGCCAATGGTATCGTGGTGGTATTAAGATCTCTAAATGCTACGTAACCCTTACTCACAATCTATAGTGAAGATCTTATCTCTCAATCCAGTTTTTATGAATTTTCTAGCATGACATAATTTATTCAAGCAATTTGGAAACAAGCTTTTATTATAATTAATAACTATATGTAATTGACTCCCATATAAATCAGACAAGAAAAGAAATTATAGGTCCACAAGTGTCCTTTTAATGTCTAGCTGTATATCAACACTTATATAATATTATAGTATATACGTAGACAAAAGAGAAGATAGTTGACACCTTTACTATTTGTCATAAACAGAAGTCATGCGATAATGGTTATTCCCAGAAGTTTCCAATTAATGTTAAATTTTTATAGAACATCCTTAAACATTTTCTTAAACAACATAACAAGTTAAAAGTATTTAGATAGACGCTTTTTTTTTATTTTAAAGTTATGTGATAACGCCGTAAGTTATCAAAAATAAAGAAAAAAACACAGTATTTCAGAAAGAATGCAGAATAGTCCAAAAATAAAAGTTCCTATAGGTTGTTTAACAGTAAACAGAACATCGGAGTGTATAGTTATTCCGTGATTAACAAATATAATAGTATAATATCAAACAGTCTCATTTTGGTTGTATTTTTGTGGAATCTAATTAATTACGTAATCTTTGAAGGTGTGTAAACTTCACTAATAAGCCTTAAGTTAGTAAGTGGTATGTGCATCTGAATTCTCAATATTTTGTGATTTAAATTTAGTAATAGAAATGACAGATAGTGTTAAAAGTATAAAAATATTTATGGAGAAATAAACTTACTGACTATTATACATCGTCACCTTACCAACAAAAGAGTAACTATTTCCTACAAAAGCTAGAGCTTGACTAACTGCATCGCTTGGCACTGAGCGTACAATCCGTAGTATTATTGTTTACCTGTGTATGTGCGCTCAGATTGGACTGTACTAATTAACTTACATAACCGCAATAGTGCCAAGTGGTTTCACTTTTATTGACACATTTCCAAGATCCTTAGGTGGCACTTCAGAATTCACAATAATTGTTTTCTTGATCAGTGAATCAACTTCACTTGTGTGAGTCACAACGAAATTGTCACTATTTGATGCAGTAGAAATGCTTAGGTTTAACACTTCCGATGGACTTGGTGTAGCCTGTGTGTCAGTAAGAAAGGGGTTTGAGACGATTTACATGTTTTTCTAGATTATATTCAGATTATAGATCGAATTATATTCTGTTTTTACACTATAAGAAACTGGACTTGTTTTATCTAAGACCTTAGCTTCCGCCTAATGATTATGTCTTACATTTTTTTCATAATACAATCATTAATTCAGAATTAATGTCCCTATTTCCTAAAAAAAAGAAAGGCTTAAGGATCTTGTCTACTAGTTACAGCACGTGCTATATTTAATCTTTATTAATCGAATGCATTCAAAAATTTCCTGCTTATTTGTAGCTCTACAGACAATACTCCAATTGTAATGTGCAAGGTTAATGGGTAATTCAAAATACATCTGGCTATGGCTTTTTGTTTTTGTCACCTTCAAACAAAAATTACCCTAAATTTATTTTTAAAAGTTTTAACTGCGTTCTCCTCTGTGCCTTTGTTTGTTGGATAATATGGGTCAATTAAGTGATAAGTGACATTATTATTGCATAAAAACTCTCACGATTCCCTTAAAATTAGAGCCAAACGGTTATCAATTACTATAAAAACAAGTAGACCCCATACTAAAAAATTTTCTATGAACGCCAAGACAGTAGTTGTAGCCGTAATATCACGCATTTTTTTTACACCTTCCCACTTGAAATGAGCATAAGTAATAACTAAGTGCATAGAGCTCTGAGTTAGACCCCAAAATCTGCATGAAAACGTATATTCAGAAGCTCTAGTCATTCTCAAATATGCAGTTTAGCCTTCGGTAGATCGCTGCCATGTGTTTAAGTCGGTCCCGGGCCACCATACATAGGATTGAGCCAGCTCTCACATTTTGACTGTACTCATATGAACATCATATAACTCAGACAAGACCGTATCATACAAGGATGTTGGTGCAATTAATCGATAGTGCAATAAAATACAATTATTTATAATAACGAAGATGACGCTAAGATCTTTTAACTTGTTGCCTGGCCAACCAATTTTAACGTATTTATGAACACTTTTAAGCACTGGACAATCATTTTACGCAGTTCTAAGATCATTTATGTACACAAAATTGGTTGTCTTTGAAACAAAATTAAAGTTTAAATAACCGTCCGTGTTTCTATGAATTAAACTGGTCAAACTAAGTCCTAATAAGCAATCAGCATAATCATTGATTTTCCCTTTAGTACGTCGAATTTCATAAATGAAAAAAAGCTTATCTGTGTAGATGACTTGCAAACATTTGCAGAATACATTGGTTGTTCCAGAAAAATAAAAACAAATGTTCATGATCCATCTCAATAATGGTGTAACATCCCGAGTTAATACGAATTATATAATAACTAAAAACTATCCGTCCATAAAAATTCAGATAAGACGTATTGTGAATATAAAGCAAGCTCATATGATAAGAGGAGCTTGTATGTCGTTTATGTGTGCGCGTGTGTGTATTAGCTTTAAAATGAATACTCCATAATATGCTGACATAGAATATGGCCAGCCACATTGTAAAAATGCATGTATGTAGGAATGAATAGTTACTTGCTCATTAATTGTTTAGTTCTGATAATGTATACTAATTAAAAATTTGTAATTCACATACTACTTCATTATATTCAAAATTGATTGTAAAATCCTAAGATGGATTAATTTCGAAATTGTAAGCTCACTGTAACAATTGAACTTGTATTTGGCGTTCTTATATTGCTGATATGAGCTTTAAACATCACTGACCCAAAAACTCAATCACACTTGTCAGAAAATGCGATTGGTACTGTTGTATTGTTATTCCCTAATATGTAAAATCATAACATGTAACATCATCATGCAACTGTCAATGCAGTCCGCAAGAACATCGCTCATTGATTGACCTCATTCAACCAAAGGCCTCTTTTACTCGTTCTGATGCTATAAAAACGCACCATCAAGAGGAAAAAGTGCTCTCTTTACGTCTGCCACCTGTCCTCTAAATTTTAAGTCAACTCTTAACTCTCGCGACTTGTGAGTACCTTATACACGTAAGGCATAACGTGTTGGCTGAGGCAACTCAAGTGCGTATCAATAACATCAAAAGTATTCGACTACGCTAAGGGGTGAGGTACAGCAAAGAAGGCCCGCCGAAAGTGATTCCGGTGATAGCAGAGGAAACAGAAATCGCAACATCTCACTGGCCTCGAACTCGTTCGTGTAAGTTAAGGAAACACTGACGGTTACAGCACGAAGCATTAGGAAACTTTGAAGCAGCAGTAAAAATAGTCAGTGATAGATGTAAGTGAGATATCAGTAATAAAATTTACGTTGAACCTTGTTATAGTGACCTGATTAAATTGTATTAAAAGGAACAAATCATTATTAAATTGCTACAATAAAGAAATACATTTTGTACCCATATTATTGAAATAAAGATTATTATTTAATACAAAAATAGAACAATTAAAGCTCACGAGCTGAAATCTAAGACCCCCATAAATGGCACTTAAATAAAACAGTTAAAACCAAACTCTGAACAAGTCTGGTTATAACAATGGAACGAAAACCGAAAAAAATTGGTTGTGTTCATAAATTGTAATTACGTTAGCTAACACGATCACGATCTCTTTGTACGTAATTTTTCTCAGCTTTGGACAGCTTACATGATTTGAATGCAACTGGCCTTTTAGAGACATCGGGCATTACACCAATACCTGTTGGTAACGCATCGCACATTGCCTTAAGAGGTAATTTGGGGTTGAAATGTGTGAACACCTTATAGGATGCTGATCTACGTTTTGCATTGCTAAAAGCATTCTCTTAATCTGTTGAACAGAACCATTTTCTTTTTTTTTTTAGCAAATCACATAAAGGATTTACCAACGTAGCACAATTCTTATAAACTTAGAATGAAAGTTTATCATGCTCAAAAAACTTTGAGATTTTTTAACGTTTATTGATCTTAAAATTTGTAAAATTGCTCATATATTTTATTACTAATTACAAGTAGAACCTTTGAATCCAAGCCATAAACTAAGAAATTAATTTTAGCTTGACTCAGCTCCCATTTTTTTTTAGCTATCATCAATCTTACCTTTTGCAATCCAAGTATAACCTGTGTTAATCTATTGTTATATTTCACTTAATCATTTCCTACAAAAAAGAGGCACACTCTAAAATATTCAACAAAAGCATTCTTTTCTCCTTCCGAAATCAGCAAAGTGCTGATGCAATAACATATGCCAAATGAGTATAACGAAATAAGCCTTTGTGTGTGGTGATGGTTGTTAACGCTTGTGACGTGGCATCAAGCTTAATTTATTAAAACATTTGCTTTTAATCTAATGTTGATTGTACTGCATGACCATATAAGATCGCTAGAACATCTCAAATGCGAGGTATCGAGTGCCTGTCTATTTTCATTAACTGGTTCAGTCTGACTTTAAAATTACCAGAAATTCTTGTTCTACCATTTTTTTTGTAATAGAAAAAAAAGAAGTAGCCCATTTGTTTGATTGCGCTTGTACTTATGTTTGTTCACTTACTAAACGATCAAATTTCTTTTTAACTTTAATTCATGCTGCATATGCTACGGTACAAGTTTTTTCAAGACCAGTGTGGCAATTTCCTATAATAAAGTTTCAAACTTTTTTAAAATTTTATTATCTTAGCTTACTGGAAAAAAACTTTCAAAAACTCTGACTTCAATGATACTTTTTCAAATTTATTCATAAAAATACCACCCAGACAGCCACCTTTTTCAATTACATCCGATTTTTATAGCCAATCGCTATCTATAATTGGTAAATTTTTTTCCGGCAATATAAATACTTATAATCTTAAAACATTTCCTTCATGAGTGACAATCAGATTCATGGTGCTTAACAGCAGCAGTACCACACCTGTATAACTCTTTAACCAGTTTTTAACTAAGTAATGCCAAGAATATAGCTTTATTTACCGTATAAACTTCGAAATAGAGGTCCAATATTTTTATCTATAGCTTCCAGCTGTCTTCTCCATCATTAAACGGTTTCATATTTTCTTCTATGCTTTGTCTAGTCATTGCAATAAGTTCTATGTTTAACTCACCAATTTTACTATTCAACTTTAAATTGATAACTGTTACACCTTTTAACTTTTGTTAATGCTCAAGAAATAAACATTTGCTTGACGCACACTTAGTACACTCATCCTCTCTAACTGCCATTAACCAAACACACTACATGGCAAACAACTGCCCATTGCACGTCTGTGCTTTACTTGTCCACTGCGATATGCTCTACGCTGTCTCATTGATAACTACGTACCAACATTATAGTAACAAAAAAAACCTCATCATTAATCCTCATTGCCAATATAATGTATTGAGGTTTAAAAATGAACATATGAGCTACTTTGAGACCCACGTTTACTGTTACTTAAAATGGCAAGTATATTTATATACAGACTGATGACGAGACGACTAAGCCTGGCTTTGCATACATTGCAGTCGTTCTCGAAATGTGCAGAGACTTGCGCTTGCTGTTGCTTGCTCATTACAGTGCTGACACTTGCTATAGCCACTGTATAGCGCTAGTTACATATACTATAATATGTTGATACTGTGTTAGAATTCAGACAATATATTGATTCTCCCTACACCATTTCATCATTCTGCCTGTTCTATTTCTAAGTGGTGAGGGCAGCATAGAAAAGACGTATGGCATTATATATATATATAT